AAACCAGATTTCAGCGGAGGAAGAAGCACTGCAAGTGGTTAAGACACACATTTACGAAAGCACCCAACTGTATCACAAGACAAGCTCTAACTTGCAATTCTCAAGGCCAAAGTAAAAGGAGTAGACCAAAGTACATATACGCCGAGAATTCGAAGCGGTCATGGAAAGAATGAACTGGAGTTGGGTAGAACTGGAAAGTAAGACCCAGGAGGGAATAGATTGGAGAATGCTGTTTGGTGGCCTATATTCCACTAGGGGTATGTAATTAAGTAAGTTTCTTTGTACCAATAATTTTATGTTTAGGTAAATACAAAGAAGTATTATGCAGTTTTTGCAGGTTGTCTCATTTTACATTAATATCGAATTAAGAATAATGTGATAAGAGTCGAAGGAAGTACGTCAAATTATTTATTCCTTTAGTATTGTTAAATAAACTAAAATAGATGCAGTACGATGATAAGAAATATTAAAGAAAAAGCCAATTCACATAAAGAATGCATTCGTAAAACACACGCAGCCATCTGTAATGATTGCTTTGTGGATCTTCAGGGGAGAATTCTGCAATTTCGTATACAGCTCAAATAAATAGTCAATAATCAACTGACCTAACACACCTAGTTTAATTCGTTTTCTTGTCAACATATTCCCATATAAGTCCGCATAACACGGTTCTGAATTTTCTCTACTTATGTTTACTGATCATACATCTGCCAATACTATATAAACCGAAATTGTCGACATCAAAAGTGATATTTTACTATGTTCTTTAAACTATCAAGAACACTAGGAAAGTGATGCTTTATATTATTAAGGCTTGAAATTCACATGATTAAATCAATAAACTACAAAACCATGATGCTCTGTAAGTATTAAGTCATAGTTTACACGAAACTAAAGTATTTACTGTATAAACGTGAATAACAAGTGTACAATTTCGTAACAATAATAGATTGGAAGTTTGTAATTAAATGGAGAGAGAGACATAAAATGTCATGAGCCAATCATTTGGTAAAAACCTGTGAGGTTAACCATCTACTTTCTCTATGTTGAATAACAGTGTAATGTCTGTGCTAAGATTGAGGTTAGCAGAACAAGTTACAGGTCAAACGTGGAGAAATTCGAATGCTTCACTTCTATCTGAAGTTTGTGCTGATGATGTTGTTCAGTAGAACAATGAAAGCTCCACAACCAAAACACCCTGCTCAGAGAACCAAACACCACCACCACAATCATCCACCTGAGCTACAAATCTTCTCCATCATCTCAAGTGTAATGTCTAGCATTTACAAACATGTTACTGTTTAGTGGGTGAATGTTGTATATAAGAGCAGAATTTTCACTGAAGATTTCATTTCAATCACCTCTAAGCTAACGCTACATATATGTTCCATGAACATGGCTCAGTAGTTATCCCAAACTTACCGGGTGAAAACAGTAAACGACATCAACAGTTAAGTTTAAAATGAAAAGTAGTGATTCTGTATGCACAGCTCATCCATAAACTGAACAGAAAAACGCTCAACAATGTCTGATAGTGGAAAATAATGAATTTTATAAGATGGATGAGCTACAAAATTACGTACCGATGCAACACAACATGCACCAACCAAATCACTCTTGATGGAGATGC